AGAAGACTCAATAACCTGGTAGAAGCTGGAACGTAGATGGACTACTGCTAACTGCCTTAACAGGCCCAAGAAAGCCAAATTCTGAGCCAGGAACCTTCAGTTTATATCACAGGATTTTCTCAAGTTTTAGGCATTAGCAGTAACGGGCACTGAGTAATTACAGAAGTCTGAAGGTTTATCTCCTGAAAAGGGTATTCAAAATCATATTTCTGCATTCTAGAAGTGAACTATTAGTAAAATTTTGCAAAGTAGAATTTACAATAACATTAAAATACATTAAATGTCTAAGGATTAAATTTAACAAAATATGTAAGATATACTGTGCCTATAAGTCAAAAATAGGATGGTGTTTTTCAAAATGAACATTCAGATAATTTTTTAAATCTTAAAAATTAAAAATATGAGCCAAGTGTAGTAGCTCACACCTATAATTCCAGCACTTTGGGAGGCCAAGGTGGGAGGATCATTTAAGGCCACGAGTTTGACCCAGCAGGCAACATTGTGAGACCCTGTCTCTACCATAAATAGTAACAATTAGTTTGGCATGGTGGCACACTCTTGTAGTCCTAACTACTCAAGAGGTTGAGGCGAGAGGATTACTTGAGCCCTGGAGTTTGCGGTTACAGTGAGCTGTGATCACACTACTACACTCTAGCATGGGCAACAAAGCAAGACTTTCTAATTTTTTAAAAAATAAAAAATATTATAAAATTAAAAGCAGAATTGAAGTATTTAAAAGATACAGTTAAGTAAGTCACTCTCAGTATAGGGCAAAAAAAAAAGAGAAAGAAATGGAAAATATAATAGACTCAATAAGAGTATTACTGAATAGATAATGTTGAGCCAGTATAGAAGAACCAATGTAAAAGAGGAGACAGAGGCAGAGAATAGAGAAAATGGAAGGGAGAAATAATTCAAGAAAACATTCTATAATCGATGAGCATGCATTATTAGACTGAAAGAGTCCACTGGATATGCAGCACAATGAATGAAAATAGACTCATGCCAGTTTCAGAGTCCTAGAAAAAGGAAGGATTCCAGAAGTATGTAAGTTGAGAGGCAGGAATATATACAAAGGATCAGGAATCAGAATGGCTTTGGGCTTGCCAAAGCAACATTGGAACTAGGAGACCAGTGCCTTCAAATTTCTAAAGGAAAATTATTTCTAACCTAGAATTCTACAGGCAGCCAAACTATCAGTAAAATACAGAGAAAAATATTTTTTCATACATTCAAGATCTCAAAAAAAAGAAAACCTTCATCCCATTAAATGTTGCTCAAGAACCTATTGAAACATGTGTTACACCAAAATGAGAGTACTTCAAAAAGGAGGAGTGCATGGGATACAAGACAGGAGATCCAATGAAAGAGAGAGGTGAAGGCAGTTCCTAAGGTGTAGGTGACAGAAAGGGATTTCTCAGATGATAGCTGTATGCTAGACAGGCAGCCAGTCTAGAACAAATCAGTGTGATAGAGAGAGATAGATACAGGGATACATATGTTGAATGCCTTCTGTATTCTACACTCTTATACCTGATACTATATGGGTAGTAAGTCCCCAGAATCTTATCCGTGCTTAGCCTTGCATGCACCATGTGCTGATGTTCTTGTTCTCTCCTTCGTGCCCTGCTACCTGGATAACCAAAGACATTCATTTCACCCCCACAGAAGAGTTTTGCTTTCAACTGCTCCCGAGAGCTGAAGATTGGCCATGGTAAGTAAGTTTAGAAGCAGAAAACAGATAGCACTCTACCCCAACTGGTCATATTCCTGTCATATTTTAGAACCTAGGCTACACTGCCAGAAGCCTTCACTGTGTTGAGGCTTATGTTTCTTGGGACTCATTCTTGTCTCCCCCAAATGGGGGCTATGATAAACCCTCGGAAAAGCTGAAGCCAGACTGTGACTTTTTTAAGCGCGTCTTCTCTTGAGAACTTTCATCAAACAGTGGTAATAATGCCTTTTCCATGCATTGCCAGGTTTGTGCTTTCCTGATCATTTTTAAACTAATCACCTCTTATGTTCACTTACATGCAAATACTTATAGTTAAGTTAGAAAATTTTGAAAAAATTTATTGTTGCCATTTACCATATTTTAAAAATAAAAGACAGAGGCAGACCAGTCTTTAGAAAATTAAAAAGAAAAATTACATGATACCAAGATTTAGACTAAAGCTTTCTGTAAAATTCAACAACTATTTATGTTATAAAACAAAACAAAACCCTTTACAAACTAGTAATAGAAGAGAATTTTCCTAACATAAATTCTATAGCATATAAAACACTAGTCATGACATAGTTTTTTTAATCCCTTTAAAAATCAAGAATAAAACTAGGATATATACTATAATTACTTCTATTACCTAACATTTTACTTGCAAATTACATGATCATGTAAAGAAAATATCACAAGACATGTACAAAAAAATGTTAGAAGCAATAAGTAAAATTAGCAGAGTTACATGATTCTAGTCAGTATTCAGAATCATGATTTCTGTGTTCTAGCAGTTAACTATTAGTAGAATTTTGTAAAGTACAATTTACAATAACATTAAAATACATTAAATGTTTAAGGATTAAATTTAACAAAGTATGTAAGATCTATACATTGAAAACTACAATTTTTTGTTGTTGTTGTTGAGAGAAATTGAAGAGCTAGGTAACAGATATACCACTTAATGGATTAGAAAATTCAATATTGTTAAGATGCCCATACTCCAAAACTGATTTGTAGGTTCTGCAGGCTTTTTGGTAAAAATGGAAAAACTGATTCTGATATTAACATGGAGATGCAAACGATTGCAAATAGCCAAAACAGTTTTTGAAAGTGAACAAAGTTGCATTACTTACAAGACTTGATTTATATGCTGCTACCAAGACAATGTTGCATTGGTGGTAGGAATGACAAATAGATCAATAGAACATCCAAAAATTGACCCACACACTTACACTGGCCTGATTTTCAATAAATATGTCAAGGTAATTCAGTGGAGAAAAGATAATCTTTTCAACAAATTGTGCTGGAATAAATGAATATTCTTAGGACCAAAAAAAAAAAATGAACTTCAACCTCACACCAACATAAAAATTTAATAGAAGTGAATTCTGTTTCTAAATATAAATTATATCTCTAAATGTAAAAACTAAGTTATAAAACTTCTAAAAGAAAATATAGGACATATTTTTGGTTCGCCAAAGATTTATTAGTAAAAAGCACAAACTATAGACCAAAAATTGACAAATTGAACTTCATCAAAATTTCAAACTTTTGTTCTTCACAAGATAGTATTCAGAAAATGAAAGGTAAGCCAGAGACTTGGAGAAACTACTGGCAAAATATATATCCAACAGAGGATCTACATGTAAAATATAGAAAGAATTCTTATAACTGAATAATAAGAAGGCAGACAACAATGTATCAAAGAAGAGGTATGGATAGTAAATAACTACATGAAAAGATGCTCAGAAAAATTAGTCATTAGAGAAATGCAAATTAAAACCACAATGAATACCACTACACACCTACTAAAACAGCTAAAATGAAAAAGACTGACTTCAAACCAAGTGCTAATGAAGATGTGAAATATCTGGAACACTTATACATGCCTGGTGGGAATGTAAAATGGTGGTCACTTAGGAAAACAGTGTAGCAGTATCTTGAAAAATTAAATATCCACCTGCCATACAACCCAGCCATTCTTCTAGCTGTTTACCCAAGAAAAATGAAAGCATATGTCTATACAAAGTGTGCTTTGTGAATGTTCATAGCTGCTTTATTTGTAATAGTCAAAGACTAGAAACCTGCATTTGGACAGAAATAAATTGTGCTGTGACCATACAATGGAGTACGTACTCAGCAATAAAAGGAAATGAAGTATTGATAACATAATAATATGAATGAATCTCAAAGAATTATGTCAAATGAAAGAAGCCATACAATCGGGGGCATATATGGTATGATTCCATTTATGTGGCATTCTAAAAAATACAAATTGAGGTTTTGGATGTGGTAGGTATCTTGATTGTGGTGGTAGTTTCCTGGGTATATACAGATGTACTGATCAGATAGACACTTTCAATATATGCACTTTTAATGTACGTCAGTTATACCTCATTGAAGCTATAAAACATAGGTAAGCTGATACTATTTTCAGTATCTCATCAAGCTTTAATTTCATCAGTAAAGTTAAAAGAGTAATACCTACTTCACAGGGATTATTTGAACATTTTGTGTGTGGTGTGTGTGTACATACACACTCATCCACATAATACCTCCATATACTCTCTCCTTATTTTTCTTCAAAGCAATTATAACTAGTTATGTATTAATTGTTTACCTCCCCCAACTATACTATAAATTCTTTGAGAACAAAAACTTTACCTATTGACCTACCTTCCCAAATGCTTAGAACAATGCCTGGTACATAGTAAGCACTCCATATATATTATTAAGTGATTTATTGAATGAGAGTGAGAGTGTGTGTGTGTGTGTGTTACATTGGCTTACATGGAGCATATGACTCAATCTACATTAATTCTAATCCACTATCCCCCTGCCTATTCCATGAGACTGAAAAAGTAATCAGGTACTTTCAGATTACCTTCCCAATACATGTATTAAAGTCTTGGTGGCCTATTTCTCAGCTCCTTTTAATGGCTACATATAGTAGGCAAATTATCAGAAAATTTGATAGGTCTGCATTTATACTACAAACAAAAACTTTTCCTTCTCATGAAACTGATGTCTTCTAGCCAGACATGGTAGCACATGTCTATACTCCCAGCTGTTCAAGAGACTGAGATGGGAGGATCACTTGAGCACAGGAATTCAAGGCTAGAGTGTACTACGATCACACCTGTGAATAGCACTGCACTCCAGTCTAGGCAACATAGTGAGATCCCAGCCCTTATAAAAAAAAAAAACAAAGTGATGGCTTCAATTTCTGATTATGACGTGACTTGAGAAAGTTTTATTTTGCTTTTCTTTTTTCCCTCCACAGGGTTTATCCATGGCTTAGAGGACTGGGTTATACATCCTTGGGTATATTTTTATTGGGATTTTTGTTTTGGAATATAGATAACATATTTTGCGATTCACTGAGGTAAGATATATTTTCATTGCTTCAGAAATATTTTTGGAAGCATTTTATTAAGTAGAGAATTTTATAAACGTGTAGAAAGAGTAGTGCCCTGAAATGAATTTTTACTATTGCTGACATTTAAAAGATATGTACAGTAAAATGAAGTTAAATTATTGAAATACCTGTTTAAGTTACCTAAAATTTTGAATCTGAGGATATTTCATAACCTCAGTAGGGTTTGGGTTTTATGTGTGTGTGCATCATAGAACTATGTAGTTAGTCAAATGTTGACTATTCCTTTGAAACTTGTCTGATCTGCTTCATTGAATAAAGAAGACTGATTTGTAGTAAGCATATGAAATATATGTATGTAAATATATACTCTCATATGCTTAATAGTATTTTCTAAGAAAGCAGGTGTTCCTTTTACCATCTTGTCAGCAATCATATATTGATGGAAGTTTGAATCTTAGACTGAGGTCTCTGGATTCTAGTCTGTCATTAGGCACTGTCTTTCTGGCCCTCATTTTTCATGAAATGAGCATACTGAATAGGTTAAACTAGTGGATCATTCCAACTCTAAATCCTGTAAACTAACAATTTTGCATAAACAGAGGACAGAGGAATGTACTGAACAGTCCCACAGGAAGGCAATCAACAAAATTCAGACTGTAACAAATCTAAAGAATGAATGACCTGATCTCTTCAACAGATAAATTAGAGAGGTATGGCCAGGCATGGTGGCTCACGCCAGTAATCACAGCACTTTGGGAGGCCGAGGTGGATAGAAAACTTGAAGTCAGGATTTCAAGACCAGCCTGGCCAACATATGAAACTCTGTGTCTACTAAAAATTAGCTGAGCATAGTGGTGTGTTCCTGTAATCCCAGCTACTTGGGAGGCTGAGGCAGAAGAATTGTTTGAACTGGGGTGGTGGAGGTTGCAGTGAGCCAAGATCATGCTGCTGCACTCCAGCCTGGGTGACAGAGCAAGACTCCGTCTCAAAAAAAAAAAAAAGCAGAGGCAGGAAAGAAAAAAGAGGGAGGAGGAACATATAGATTAAGAAACTTAGATATATCAGCCAGATACAATGTGTTGGCCTTTTTTGGATTCTGATTCAAACAAACCAACTGTTTAAAACAAAGTATGAGAAATTTTGAACTTTGATCAGTAACTGAATATTTTTTATGTTATTAAGGGATTATTGTTTTTAGGTATGAAAATGTGATTATGTTTTAGGGAGGTTTTCATATTTCAGAAATACATACTAAAATAATTAGAAATAAAATGATATAGTATCTGGGATTTGCTTCAAAAAGATAGGAGAGAGAGAAGTGGATGAGGGTTCAGATGACACAGATTGACCATAAATTATCATTGTTGAATACTGTTCCTCAGAATGTAGTTTGGATAACAGTGTGGCAGACTACAGGAAACTTAAGGCAATTAAATAACTGCCGTATTTGAGAATGACATTTCAAACTGTTCTAAGACGATCATCATTAGTTACTAAATATGTTTAAAATTTAACATGGTGATTTTCTCCCCCTCTCTACACAGGGACTTTCGAAAGAAGGTACCACCTATCATAGGTATTACCACACAATTTCATGCATGGTGGCATATTTTAACTGGCCTTGGTTCCTATCTTCACATCCTTTTCAGGTAGGAAATAGAGACTTTTTTAGCCTAGTACTAGAGGTTTTTTTTCTTCACTCTTTAAATAGGATGCTGTAAATATTTTTTAAACACTAAAAATCACAAACATGAAAATTAAATAGTACACTCTTGAACAACCATTGGTCAAAGAAGAAATCAAAAGAAAATTAGAAAATACCTTGAGACATGTGAAAACAAAAATACAACATACCAAAACTTTTGGGATGCAGCAAAAGCAGTACTAAGAGAAGTTCATAGAAATTGATGCCACATTTAAAAGGAAGAGAGAGCTCAACAAGACTTTAAACCTCAAAGAACTAGGAGACTAAGAAGAACAAATTAAGCCCACAATGGGCAGAAGGAAAGAAATAACAGAGCAGAAATAAACAAAATAGAAAAATGTTTAAATATCTATGAAACTAAGAGTTGGGATATTGAAAGATCATCAGAATTGGCAAATCTTAACTAGACTAACAAAAAAAGAAAAATAAGTCTCAAATAAATAAAATTAGAAATAAAAGAAGAGACATTACCATGCTGCCACAGACATAAGAAGAATCACGCAATTATATGCCAACAAATTGGATGACTTAGAAGAAATGGACAATATCTTAGAAACCCACCAAGACTGAGTTGTGAAGAAAAAGAACAGATTCTAAATAGGTCAAAACATCCATAAAAAATTAAGCAAAACAAAACAAATGAAAAGACATCCTGCATTCATGGATTAAAAGACAGAGTTGTTAAAATGTTCCTTCTACCGAAAGCCATCTACAGATCCAATGCAGTCTCATTTAGAATTCCAAAGGCATTTTTTACAGAAATAGAAAAAACAATTCTAACATTCATATGGAATCACAAAAGACCACAGGTAGCCAAATCAATCTTGAAAAAAAAAAAACATGAAACATCTCACTTCTTGATTTCAAAATAAACAAGCATGCATAACTTTTTTGCACATTTTAGGTATTGTGTTTTTTACAAGTTGAAAGTTTGTGGCAACCCTGCATCAAGCAAGTTTATGGGTGACATTTTTCCAACAGCATGTGCTTGCTTCATGTCTCTGTGTCTTGTTTTTATAATTCTGACAATATTATTATTATATCTCTTATGGTGGATCTGTGATCAGTGATCTCTTTTTTTCCCCCAAGACAGAGTCTCCCCCAAACTGGAGTGCAGTGGCATGATCACAGCTCACTGCAACCTCCACCTCCTGGGTTCAAGTGATTCTCCTGCCTTAGCCTCCCAAGTAGCTGGGATTACAGGCATGCACCACCACACCTGGCTAATTTTTGTGCTTTAAGTAGAGACGGGCTTTCACCGTATTGGCCAGGCTGGTCTCAAACTCCTAACCTCAGGTGATCCTCCCACCTCGGCCTCCCAAAGTGCTGGGATTACCATCCATTACCAGCCATCATTCCTGGTCTGTGATCAGTGATCTTTGCTGTTACTATTTTTATTGTTTTAGGGTACCACAAACCATACTCATATAAGACAGTGGACTTAGTAAATGTATGTTCTGACTGCTCCACCAACTGGCCATTCCCCAATCTCTCTCCTTCTCCTCCATCCTCTCTATTCCCTAAGAGGAAACAAAACTGAAATTAGGCCAATTAATAACCCTACAATAGCCTCTAAGGGTTCGAGTAAAGAGAAGAGTGGCATATCTCTCACTTTAAATCAAAAGCTAGAAATGATTAAGCTTAGTGAGGAAGGTATGTTGAAAACTGAGATAGGGCAAAAGGTAGGCCTCTTGTGACAAACTGTAGGCCAAGTTGTGACGGCAAAGGAAACGTTCTTGAAAGAAATTAAAAGTGCTACTCCAGAGAACACACAAACGATAAAAAAGTGATATGGCCTTATTTCTAATATGTGGAAATTTCTAGTAGTCTGGATAAAAGATCAGACCAGCCACAACATTGCCTTAAGACAAAGCCTAATCCAGATCAAGGCCCCAACTCACTTCAATTCTTTGAAGGCTGAGAGAAATGAGGAAGCTGCAGAAGAAAAGTCTGAAGCTAGCTGAGGTTGGTTCATGAGATTTAAGGAAAGAAGCCATCTCTATTACATAAAAGTGCGCAGTGAAGCTACAGCAAGTTATCCAGAAGATCTAGCTAAGATTATTCATGAAAGTGGTTACACTAAACCACAGTTTTAATGTAGATGAAACAGCCTTCCGTTGGAAGAAGACAGCATCTAGGATTTTCATAACTGGAAAGAGAAGTCAATCCTTGGCTTCAGAGCTTCAGAGCACAGTCTGTGGCTCTCTTGTTTGGAGCTAATGCAACTGATGACCTTAAGTTGAAGTGAGTGTTCATTTTCTATTTTGAAAATCCTATGGCCCTTAAGAATTATGCTAAAGTTATTCTACCTGTGCTCTATAAAATGGACAACAAAGTCTAGATCACAGTACTTCCATTTACAGCATGGTTTACTGAATATTTTGACCCCACTATTGAGACATACTGCTCAGAAAGAAAGATTTCCCTTCAAAATATTACCACTCATTGGGAATGCACCCGGTCACCCAAGAGCTCCAATGGAGATGTACAAGATTAATGTTGTTTTTCATGCCTGATGACACAACATCCATTCTTCAGCCCATAGATCACAGAGTAATTTTGACTTTTAAGTCTTATTATTTAAGAAATATATTTCAGCCAGGTGTGGTGGCTCACACCTAAAATCCCAGCACTTTGGGAGGCTGAGGCTGGTGGATGACGAGGTCAGGAGATCAAAGCCAACATGGTGAAACCTTGTCTTTACTAAAAATACAAAAATTAGCTGGGTGTGGTGGTACATGCCTATAATCCCAGCTACTTGGGAAGCTGAGGCAGGAGAATCGCTTGAACCCAGAAGGCAGAGATTGCCGTGAGCTGAAATTGTGCTACTGCACTCCAGCCTTGCAACAGAGCGAGACTCTGTCTCAAAAAAAAAGAAAAAAGAAATACATTGCATAAGTCCATAGCTGTCAGCGATGGTGATTCCCCTGATGGATCTGAGCAGTAAACCAAAAACCTTCTAGAAAGGATTTACCATTGTAGATGCTATTAAAAACATTCATGATTCGTGGGAGAGCAAGATACTGACATTAACAGGGGTTTGGAAGAGGTTGACTCCAACCCTCATGGATGGCTTTGAGGGCTTCAAGATTTAAGTGAAGGAAGTAACTATACATGTGGTAGAAATAGCAAAAGAACTAGGATTAGAAGTGGAACTTGAAGGTATGAATGAATTGCTACTATTTCATGATAGAACTTTAATGGATAAGGACTTGCTTCTTATGGATAAACAAAGTGGCTTTTTGAGATGGACTCTACTCCTATGAAGATACTGTGGATGTTGTTAAAATGACAACAAAGGATTTAAAATATTACATCAAATTAGTTATAAAGCAGTAGTGCAATTTAAGAGGACTGACAGGTGACCCCACTTTTGAAAGAAGTTCTGTGGGTAAAAGGCTATAAAACAGCACCACATGCTATAAGCATTATTTTGTGAAAGGAAGAGTCAATTGATACAGCCAACTTCATTGTTATATTATTTTAAGAAATTGGTACAGCCACTCCCACCTTCAGCAACCACCATCCTTACCAGTCAGTAGCTATCAACATCAAGGCAAGACCCTCTATCAGCAAAAAGATTCTAGCTAAAGGCTTAGATGACGTTAGCATTTTTTGCACACTTAATAGCCTACAGTATACTGTAAACATAACTTTTCTAAGCACTGGGAAACCAAAGTACTTGTGTGACTCACTTTATGATGATATTCCTTATTTTATAATTTAGAGCCAAACCTGCAATATCTCCAAGGTATGCCTTTTATTACCAAGCTACAGTAATAAAAACACTGTGGTACTGGCATAAAGAAACACATACAGACAAATGAAACATAACAGAACCCAGAAATCCACATGTATATTCTCAACTGATCTTCTACACAGGTGCCAAGAATGTACAATGGGGAAATGACAGTCTTTTCAATAAATGGTATTGGGAAAACTAGATATCTATATACAAAAGAATGAAATTGGACTCTTACTTTACACTATATACAAAAATTAACTCAAAATGGATCAACAACTTAAATGTTAGACCTGAAACTGTAAAACTTCTAAAAGAAAACATAAGGGGAAATCTGCTTGACTTTGGTCCTGGTGATAACTTCTTGGATATGACACTACAAATACAGGAAACAAAAGCAAAAATAGACAAGAGGAACAAAAGAAATATCATCAGGAAAAGGCAACCTCTGGAATGTGAGAAGGTAATTGCAAAGCATATATTCTAATAAGGGGTTAATATCCAAAATATATAAGGAATTCCTATAACTTAAGAGCAAATAATAATAACCAATTAAAAACAGGCAAATGACTTAAATAGACATTTCTCGAAAGAAGATATAGAAATGGCCAACATCACTAATCATCAAGGAAATGCAAATTAAAACCACAATGAGATATCACTCATGATGGCTACTATGATAAAAATAAAAGATAACAAGTGTTGATAAGGATGTGGAGAAATTGGAACCCTTGTGCACTTTTGGTGGGAATGTAAAATGCTGCAGTCACTATGGAAAACAGTATGATGACTTCTCAAAAAATTAAAACTACAATATGATCCACCAATCCCACTTCTGGGTATATATCCAAAATAATTGAAATCAGGATCTCAAGGAGATATCCACTTTCCTATGTTCCACTGCAGCACTATTCACAATAGCCAAGAGGTGGAAACAACTTACAAATCCCTTGACAGATGAATGGATAAAGAAAATGTGGGATAAACAGACAGTGAAATATTACTCAGCCTTAAAAACAAGGAAATCCTGATATCTGTAACAACATGGATGAACCCTTGAGGAGATTATACTTAGTGAAATTAGCCAGTCATGGAAGGACAAATACTGCATGAATCCACTTATCTGTGGACTCGAATACAGTCAGACTCACAGAAGTAGAGAGCAGAATGGTGGCTACCACAGGCTGGGAAGAGGGGGAAATTGTTGTTCAATTGTGCAAGTATAAAGTTTCAGTTATGCAAGATGATAAGTTTTAGAGATCTGCTTACTGCCTACAAGTAACAATATGGTATTGTGCACTTAAAAGATTTTAAGAGGGTAGATCTCACGTTAAGTGTTCTTACCACAAAAATAGAGGAAGCACGAGCAAACTTGGAGATGGTGGATATGCTTATTACCTTGATTGTGGTGATAGTTTCATGAGTGTATGCATATGTCCAAACTCATCAAATTGTATACATTAAATATGTGTCACTTTTTAATATATCAATTATGCCTCAATAAAGCTGTTTTTTAAAGAGTGTGAATTTGGAACTGAGATACAATAACTTAATAACTGGCACATCTGGTGCAACTAAGCAAGAAGAAAAGAGGAAAAAGTATAAATAACCAGTATCAGGGATATAAAAGGAAACTCCAAAGATGCTAAGATAAGAAAAATATGAGAAAAATGAGATACTTTGAACTTCATGTGATTGGTACTTCTGTTTATGTTTGAAAATCTCCATAATAAAAAGTTGGATTTTAAGCCTATAACCACATCTAGACTAGGCACCTTATATACATTACCTCTGTTAATCCTCATGAGGCCAGTGTTATTTTATGCTTAGGGAAAGACAAGCTCAGAGAAGTCACATACTTTGTACATGAGCTCATGGCCAATTAGTGTTATCGCCAGGATTTGAGCCCAGAGTTTTCTGTCTCTCCAAACCAATCTGGGAGACCTTAGAAATCATCTAACATAACTTCTTCATCTGATGGTAAAGAAAACTGGGGCCCAGAGACAAGTGACTTTCCCAGGTCACTAACCAGATAAAGTATAATATATTGGCAAAAGATTAGACAGAACTTCAATTCAAATGCTACTTCTATTATTTACTAGCTGTCATCCTTTGAATGAAATATTTCACCTTTCTGAGACCATTTCTCATATGCAAAATGAGAATAAGACCCATCTAGTTAGAGTAGTTTAGGAATGAAATTATGTAGAGCTATTGGTCCAGTGCCTCTCCCCATCTTATAAGTACTTCAAAAGTTGTGATTGATGGAGGTAGTAGCAAGGACTCAATCCATGGCTTCTCTGCCCTTGTTCAGGACTCTTCCTGAAGAGGAGGAGGAAGATGGCAACTATATTTTAGGGATTAACGTGAAAAACTGTTAAAGGAAGGTTGTATTTTGAAATAATAGATTATTATTACTAAAATAATATTTGATGCTCCTTTTTATAGTTGCTATTTAGAGTACAGTAAAGTGGCATTAGAGCCACACTAAATTGTACAAATTCATCTCTCATGCTCTTTCCCGTTTCCTTTCCCTTGTTTAAAATACAGGTTGAGTGTCTCTTATCTAAAATTCTTGGGACCAGATGTGTTTCAGGTTTGGGGGATTTTGTTTTTGTTTTTGAATATTTGCTATACATAATGAGATATCTTGGGTATGGAACCCAAATCTAATTATGACTTTCTTTTAGGTTTGATACTCACCATATGCATATAGCCTTAGCCTAATTTCATACAATATTTTAAAACAGTTTTGTACATGAAACAAAGTTAATGTACAGTGAAACATCAGAAAGCAAAGGTATTGCTATCTCAGCCACCCATGTGGACAATTTGTGGTTGTTTGGCATCACCACCATACCTGACTGAACTTATATGCTACTGATAAGCAATTATTTTCTTACACTTTTTTCTCACATAAGTACATAACAGTAAAAAATATGACAAACCATTTATACAGTGACAAAATAATGTGTTCAGGGTGACCAAGCAGCACAGCAGCATCACAAAACACCTCCATCAGCTGTCAGACAACAGCAGCAACCAACAAGGGCTGTAGGTTCAGTCTCCACCTACAGTGCTATGTTCTGAAACATCAGAAGCAGTTGAGGAGCTGAGAAGTAGCTCCTCTAGGGAAAATGAGGCATTCTGCTTGGTGACTCTTTAAAATGTTTCCTCCAGTCATCTGTCTCATTAAAAACAGTTTTGGGGCCAGGCACAGTGGCTCACGCCTGTAATCCCAGCACTTTGGGAGGCTGAGGCAGGTGGATCACGAGGTCAGGAGATCAAGACCATCCTGGCCAACATGGTGAAACCCCATCTCTAATAAAATACACAACATACACACAAAAAAATTTGCTGGACATGGTGGTGCGTGTCTGTAGTCCCAGCTACTCAGGAGGCTGAGGTAGGAGAATTGCTTGAACCCAGGAGGTGGGGGTTACAGTGAGCTGATATCATGCCACTGCACTCCAGCCTGGCAACAGTGAGATTCCTTCTCAGAAAAAAAAATACAAAAAATTATCCAGGCATGGTGGCAGGTGCCTGTAATCCCGCTACTCAGGAAGCTGAGGCACTTGATCCCAGAAGAGGGAGGTTGCAACAAGCTGAGATCGCACCACTGCACTCCAGCCTGGGCAACAGAGTGAGAATCTGTCTCAAAAAAAAAAAAAGAAAAGTAACAGTTTTTGTCCTAGCCATCTCTCATGGTTTGTATAAATGACACAATTTCTTATTCTGTTATGAATGCATACTGCTCTTGTCCTTCAATACGTATTTTGATTGCATATGAGGCCAGGTGTGGAATTTCCACTTCTAGCATCATGTCAGTATTCAAAAAGTTTCAGATTGGCCAATATGGTGAAACCCTGTCTCTACTAAAAATACAAAAATTAGCCGGGCGTGGCGGTGGGCACCTGTAGTCCCAGCAACTTGGGAGGCTGAGTCAGGAGAATCACTTGAACCTGGGAGGGAGAAGTTACAGTGAGCTGAGATCACACCACTGCACTCCAGCCTGAACAAGGCAAGACTCTGTCACACACAAAAAAAAAAGTTTCAGATTTTGGACTTCAGCTTTTCAGGTTAGGGATGCTTAACCTGTACTATAAAATTATGTTTTGCATATGTAATCCCAATGTATTTTACTATGCAGATACATGTAAATAGTATATAATAAAACAATTTTTCCTGTATGTTACGGACAGTTTAGTGAATTTTTCAGTAACAAATTCAACTATACTCTGCTGTGTGCACTGATTTTAGAATTTGATTTCATGTCCAGATGTGACTCACTTTAAAGGATACTCTGAAGGAAAGTTTCTCTTACCACTTTCTGTGATCTTCCTGGTTTCCTCATACCTGAATTTAATCCTTATGGAGCTGATGTACCCATTTCAGAATATTCTAAGAATACTATAATCCTTACTACCATGTATCTTTGAAGATGGAATATCTAATGGTGATATGAATCATACCAAGCATTAGTAGAATGTTTACTACTAAACTACACACATCTTGAGGTCCCAGTCTGTGAGTTAAGTATTTCTCTGTGTTCCATAGCATCTTGCAAAGAGTTTTGCAGAGTAGGTGCTCAAAAAAAACAGTTGCTGAACAAATGAGGCATATACTTATGTTGTTTTTTCTTTGTACATGCAGAAGCACTATGGTTAAGTTTTTCAGTAAGCCAGTTTGCATGAATTAAAAATGAGTCTGAAGAGCTTTCCCCCCTCCCACTTTTCTTTCAGTTTGTATACCAGAACACTTTACCTGAGATATAGGCCAAAAGTGAAGGTAAGTCCACTTCTTAGGTCCTGTGTTTGTGTGTTGGGGTTAGGGTACTGGGTACCTACCAGGATGGAGGTGGAAGAAGAAAGGGGAGTGCGGAGAGGTAGTGGAGCAAACACAGGCTTTGGAACCAAAGGCACTGAATCTTTCATTTACTATTGCATGTTCTTGGACAAATCTCTTCTCTTTAAGCCTTAGTTTCTTTGACAATAAAATTGAGTGCTAGTAACTACATTGAAGAGTGTTTTAAAGATCAGAAATAATGTATATGCCCAGCTTCATGCTTGACGAAGTCAAAGCATAATAAATTTAAAACTCAATAAAAAATACTCTCCGATATCTGGTACAAGTCTAGAAGGAATACCAGGACAATCACTAGCAAACCTACATATAGTCATAGCCCCATGGATTCTTTCTCATTCTTTTTCAGGGATAACATGGAACAATTTTATATTTTCTCATTCTGTCCTAATTTGTTCCCAAATAGTTTCTTTTTGGAATCTGGCCAGTGATCCTGTTTGAGCCTCTCAGGAAGCATTGATGAATCATTCCATCAAGAAAACAAAGAAACATCTACTACAGACCTGGCAGAATAAATAAGGAAATTCTTAAAGATCTACAAGTTCAAATATGTCACGACTATCACAGCAGAGGAGTGACTTTCTAACGCTGCCAGCCGCACAGAGAATGAGGAATGGAGCCTGCTGGGTGTTTAGTTCATGGCTTCATCTCATTTGTCACCCTCCCCCTTTCACCCTCCAGTTTATAAAGAAACCAGAGATGATGATGTGTGTGTACAACCTCAAATGCAGAAACAATTGGGCTTTTCTTAACAGGTTTAACAGTTTGTGATGGTTATAAGAAATTAACCTTTTTTTCTTTTTGCCCTTTCTCACATGCCAAGGGTTGCATGTGAATTACACCTTTCTTAATATATGATTAAATAATGCAAACAGTCAGCTAAGGGCCAATAAAACCCCATATCGAGCATATCCAGATGGTTAGCTGTGAGCCAGCACTCAGCTGTATCAGATTTGATTAATATTGTTGTATTAATCTCATGGATGTTTCTCAAAGGTTAAAGGAAAAAAAAGAGGAAGAAGAAAGAGCTAGCTGTGGGATTCTGTGTAGTTCTTCACTATCTGTTCTGGGGCTAGCTGGAGTGTCATAAGCAAGCTCAGACCTGCCCCTGGTTCAGTACTTAACCACATCTCAGAATTTATGGTGTCTGCCTATGGCCATGGACAACCAGAATGAGTGGGTCATCTTATACCTTTCTGAAGTTCCATGAGGACACGTATAGGCTCCAGCCAGCTCTGTTCCTCTGATCTTTGCAGATCTTTAAGTTGTCACCATTTTTATGACCAGACAAATATGACTGGTGGTCTAGACTGCCCATAGTTCATCCTCCTCACATAACTTATTTGAAGTTGTCAGGGACTGTCATTACTCTCTGACTTTTTAAATTATGCAGTATTGTCCAGTTCTCAGAGAGGTCATGGTTGTGCCCAGGGAAGTGCGTTGCATTAACTAAAGCTAAAATGATGAGGATCCTATTTACATAAAGCATATTAAAATGTATGCTTCTTAATTTTCTGAAGGAAATAGATATGTTTCTGTACAGAACCCACAAAAATTAGGGTGCTAAGAAATGACAGTAAAATCTCATCGTAAGGCAGCTAGTTCTAATTTGCATTTGAATGTATAACAAATTGCATCACTTTTCACAAACATAACACCTGCCTGGAGTAAAACTCTGATTTTAACCCTCTGCTCATGCGTCATCATATTTGTAGCTCTGCAGTATTTAGCATTTTTATGACTTTTTTTGCTTTTTGTAAATTATTGTAAAATCCAGATTGTTTTTACCACATGGTGACATGACTCAAGATTAAATCCTGAGCTACAGTTTCAAAAGAAAAATCATTTTTTCATATGTAAAGATTGTAAAACACTTTTGTCATTTTTTCCAGTAGTAAGTAGCCTTCATACAAATTTAAAACCAAAAACTATTCTGTTGTCTTCACCTACTAACCTCAGTTTTATTAACCAAGTATCCAAGGATGTCAAGGTGGCATCCTTCCCTTAGCATACTAACAAGCCAGTAGACTGATTCTTCCACCTACTTTTATGATCCTCCAGGAAGAAAAACGCTTTCTAAAACATTAAGAGAACTTTGGTTTTGCCTTAAGAGGGTATAAAACGAAACCATTCGAAGGTACAGCCCATAAGACTGTACTTGATTTTGCCCCAAGATTCTGACTTCTGGCTACATTTCACCTGCAGTTACCTGGGCTATCAGCCATGATACATTTTTTAATTCATTTGTTTTACATCATTATCTTTTTATACTTTTCAGTTAGATATTCTTCGGCATAAATAATATATATATACAGTGTAGGATAAAGGTATATCCTACATGGCAATGCTGTTAAACATGGTAAGACTGAGATTCTGCAGGATTAAAGTCAAATTAAGGGTACAGAGAACACACCTTGATACTGAGGCCATTTAGAGTAATTTGTTTAACAAGTGATTCATTCACCACCACCAGTGGCTACCTGTTCAATAAAATTGTCCAGCACCTCAGTGGAGAGTCATCTACACCCCAAGGTGACCTGTAAGACTGTGGCCAATTCTTTGAAAACCCTTGTTTCTGTTGGGAGAATGAAAAGCAGAAAGGGAAGCCAGGCTCATTAATGTTCCAAGTCAGCTGTGCCTCGTTTTAGCAACTAAGTAAAACACTCAAGACTTTGTATCTGTGCAGTATTTTATGGAAATCACTGGTGACCTGTAGGATACTGCTAAATTATCTTCATTTCAATGGCTTTATTTTTTCCTTCTTGGATTCTAGGTGGACATTACAGGGTTGGATTCCTCACTGTCCCCTCCTGCTGTTATTTGTTTTATTGGAAAACTTCATGTTAACTAGAGTGTACAAAAAAGTCTTCCTGCTGAGCCAATAATGATTTGTTTGCATATCACCTAATGTGAAAAGTGCTCATCTGTGAACCCTACAGTAAATTATATTTTAGAAAATACTTTGTGAGACTGGGCACGGTGGCTCACGCCTATAATCCCAGCACTGTGGGAGGCCGAGGTGGGTGGATCAGCCTGGCCAACATAGTGAAACTCCGTCTCTACTAAAAATACAAAAATTAGCTGGGCATAGTGATGCACGCCTGTGGTCCCAGCTACACAGGAGGCTGAAGCAGAAGAATTGCTTGAACCCAGGAGGCGGAGGTTGCAATGAGCTGAGATCGCACCACTGCACTCCAGTCTGGGTGACAGAGCGAGACTCCATCTCAAAAAAAAAAAAAGAAAGAAAAGAAAATACTTTATGAGGATGCAAAAGAAGCAATATGCTTGCACTTGAATATCCTTCTGCCTTTATTTTCACTCTGAAAACTGAAAGCAATTTGGCTTTTATTTCTGTTTTTTTAAGGAACAGCTAGGTGAAAGGAGGTTAAGCTGATTGGTCACTCTACCCTCCCCTTCCCCACTGTGGTGTTTTGTGAAACATCCCTACCACCCGAACTGATCTTTTTAATCCTTGTGATAGTAAATACATTTATAATTAACAGGAAAAACATTTTTTTAATAATCTGCAAATGAAAACCCTAATAGTAGTATTTGGTTTGACAGAAGTAAATCAAATATTATGCTTTAAACATAATGCAAAATTTCAGGACAGTTAATTTGGTCTTCCCTTACCCTCAGAGGGTTTTTCTTATAATAAGGAGAAGTGGTGTGGTTCAAAGAAAATTAAGAAACAAAAACTTCAAATACATAATGCATGAAAATCTTTAAATGCCTGCAAAAATAAAGTTCCATTATAATACTAGCCAATTCCAAATTAGCCAATGCCCTAAAAGTGTCTAACAATTTAAGGTTGTCTTATGAGTCCCATGAAAGCAGTTATTTCTGGTTAAATTTGAGTTTTCGCTACCAACTCCATATTTATGTGACAATAAATTGTTTTGGCCCTGTGATTTATGATGTGCTGCTGGATAAGCATTTACGTAAAACTGACATTTCAAAGAGAACCATTTCTAATTGGAATTGCCACCTGTGTGGCTGTTTGCAGATCCACCTCTGTCTTCCATTTTGCATCCTATCAGTGTTATAATTAGTTTGATCACTTTGTCTTGTTTTTTAGTGTCTGCAATTATAGCTTATTCACTATGTTTTAACTATTTAAAAATAATGATTAAAATTTGATTTAAAGTAGTTAAACCCCTTTATGGAAGGAGATGCAAAATAGAAAAAAAAAAAAAAAAAAGGAATCATGTCATCTTGATCGAGCTGACTAGAAATTTTCTTTTTCTTTTTTTGAGATGGAATCTCATTCTGTCACCCAGGCTGAAGTGCAGTGGGACAATCTCAGCTCACTGCAACCTCCGCCTCCTGGATTCAAGTAATTCCTCTGCCTCAGCCTCCTGAGTAGCTGGGATTACAGGTGCACACCACCACGCCCAGCTAATTTTTTTGTACTTTTAGTAGAAACAGGGTTTCACCATGTTGGTCAGGCTGGTCTCTAACTCCTGACCTTGTGATTGCCCGCCCTGCTTCCCAAAGTGCTGGGATTACAGGTATGAGTCACCACGCCTGGCTTAGAAATTTTCAATACTGTCTTTTAACTGTTGCACTCCAGCTAGCCTGGGCAACAGAGTGAGACCCTGTCTCAGAATAAATAAGAATAAGGAAATACTTGTTAAAATATCTAACTATGTAATTGTTGAATGAGGAAGCCACCAGTGTTGTTGAGGTTCTTGGGAGCATTCCACTGGACTTCAGCATTTCTCCAAAATTACCAGCCCAATCAGCTTCATATACCCAGATATGGACACTTCTTCACTTGAAATTCGAACTGAAGATAAAACTCTAACTTTGGACAGTAAACCTTTGCCTTGGGTATGAAACCTTGACACTGTTAAAAGTGGAAAACTGTAAGAGACAACAAATTTCAACAAGGCACAGTCTTCTCTCTAATAGGCCAGCAGAGCAGCTAAGGAGAAGACAAATCACTTAAGAACTTAAGTCGTTTGTTAGCTACAGCATTTCTGCTCCTGTGATACACATTCAGCCATTTTGGAGGAAAGCTAGGCAGTACTGACTGCCTATTTTCATGTACTTTAAAGAGTATTATTTCTCAAGGTCTTCATTTTATCATTAAATTCAGCTAATTACTACCTGTTTTGAAAGGCAGCTAGTGTAGATTGGTCATAATATATATATTTTTTGAGACAGGGTTTCAGCATGTTGTTCAGGCTGATCTTGAACTCCTGACCTTACGATCCACCTGCCTCGGCCTCCCAAAGTGCTGGGATTATAGGCGTGAGCCACCACACCCGGCCACAATAATTTTTTAAAATAGAAAACCTTAAAATCCAAATCAATAAATTCAGTTACAGGCTGTAAAGTAACCTAAAATTCCCCCACTCTGTTTAGCTCAGCAGCTGCCAGTCAGTATAGCACCAGCCACAGTTCACTGTGCTCTGCATACAGTTCCTTTCCAGCCCTTACAAGACCTGCTTCATTGCTTTAAAGAACATAGGGCTGATACTTGAACTGAATCTAGTCATTGGTAACTTAAATATTAACAAAATTGTCATAAGCTTCTGAAACTTCTGGCAATGCCATATCTGTAGATCATTACTTTTAAATGGAGTTTGCAGAATTAACTCTAAAATTGCAGCAACCATATTTATTAGAGAAATCTTTAAGCATATACATATGGTTCCCTATAAGTATTCATTCAGAGATCATCTGTAGCTAAAAGTAAATGATAAAAATGTGTCATAATATCACAAGGCTGTAGATCAGGGATTGGTAAACTAACCCATGGGCCAAATCCAGGCTGCAGTTAGATGATCTGCAAGCTAAGAATGGTTTTTATATTTTATTTTATTCTATTTTTTATTTTTATTTTTATTTTTTTTTTTTGAGACAGTGTCTCTGTTGCCCTGGCTGAAGTGCAGTGGCAGGATCTCACAACCTCCCCCTCCCAAGTTCAAGTGATTCTCCTGCCTCAGCCTCCCAAGTAGCTGGGACTACAAGCACATGCCACCATGCCAAGCTGGTCTTGAACTCCTGACAAGTGATCTGCCCACCTTGGCCTCCCAAAGTGCTGGGATTACAGGCATGAGCCAACATGCCCAGCCGGTTTTTACATTTTAAAAACATTTAAACAAAGAAAGAAGAATATGCAACAGAAACTCTATATTGCCTGCAAAGTCTAAAATGTTTACTCTCTGGCTTGGGAGTTTGCCTCCCCTGCTTTAGACTGTCAGCAAATGGCACAGTGGCACAGTACAGTGGTACTGCCCAACTGCACTTCTCTGCAAGGTGATTCTAGTGTGTATTTGTCAGAATGAAAATTTGTTATGTATATAAGACATCTCATGTTTTTGTTGAATGTAATCACATGATTTGTATTTAATATTTACTGAATTATTTTTTTCATATCAGTTTTTCTAGATTGGCAATAGCCTATTGCAAAGTGCCTAAACCTTTTAGAAAAATTACTATGAGCAAGGTCCATGATTTAGTTTTCAATATAAAGGGAATTTCATTCTATACTATAAAATCCAAAAATGCTAGTTGCCCTTCACTTTGGAGTTGACTTCCAGAAAGTTGAGATCTTTTGACCATTTTTTCTCATATCATATAAAATGTGCCACTTGGTAGTTGTCACACTGTGGTAGTCATGTATACTTTTTTTTTTAACTTTCTAAAAGGAAAAATGCAAAGTTCTTTCCACAGTCAGTCCAAGCTTCTTTTGGGTTTTTCTTTTTAGAGCTAAATTATTCATACCAATAAGTAAGGGAGTCTGTTCTGAGATACAGAGGCCATTATCTATTTTTTGCTTAATGTACTGATGGGGCATTGTTGTTTACCATCATGCATTTCCATGCTTTTATTTCTGAGTCGCTTATCAATGTGACCAACAGATAAACTGTTCAAGCTAATACAGCATTTCCTAACTTCATAGTTGTTGCAGATGTTAGTTCTAGTAGTGATTATTTAATAAACATATACATTGTACTGAATCTTATAAGCAACTAACATTTTCAGATAATCTCAGTCTGCTTATTCACTTTTTCCATTTGATTTGCCAATACCATAATCATTTTTCTAGAAAATAGTAGGATAATGTATTTTTTCCAGTCTGCTATAATGGAGACTATATTTCAGCATTCATTACCTCTCATAGGTGAAAATATTAAATGATATTGTTTTAAATAAGACTACTGGTAGTGTTTTATCCCTGATTTATATTTTTTAAATCCATGCATTTATATAAAGGCAGGGCTACCATGTGTTATTAGAGAGTTTATGTGGTAAAGCCATTCACGCTCCTTTTCAGTTATTCCCTCATAAAGCACAGCCCAAATGGCTTTGCAAACTCATGTCTGTGTTTTGCCAGGTAAAGGTTCCTGGCTCGCCTCTTGCCAGCATCTGTTGATACAGGCAAGGCTGCCCTACCCTGACACACAAAGGAGGGACTAGCTGAAGAATCAACCATATGGTCAACAGTAAGTAAAACCATCATTCCAGCCGGCTTGGCTAAGAAAGCTAATATTTGAAAAGCTGTAGTTTAAGGAACTAGATGAGTTATGGAAAATTCTAATTTGCTTACATCTTGTAGATGGTACTGTGGTTAAAGTTATAAACCACAGACATACGTGGCTTATGCAGGACCATTTTTTCTGTTCCTGATCTGTCCCTCTTCATTGTGTGAAGCTGGACGGTTCATGTGTTTACTTCACAGCTCTTAAAGTTGAAGATGTTGTATATTTAAAGATATAAATGTTTAGTTAAAAAAGTATTAGCTTTTACCCTTGTAACATACTTAGGCTTGGAGTAGAAAGGTACTGTAGTATGTGTTAGGAGTCTAATGGCAAAGAAGCCCCCAGATAATGACTGGATGTCATTTCCATGAAGAGGATTACTACTGGCCTATACTGCCAGCTTAAGCAAACTGGAAACAGATGTGTCCTCTGAGATGCAACCCTATCTTTAGCAGGCTGAGCGCAGACTAGATTTCAGCCCGATTCAACCTCCTTCCTCTCTCAACTGGGTGCCTTTGTGTACTTTCAGCTAGTCCCTCGTTTGTGTGTCAGGGTAGGGCAGCCTTTCCTGTATCAACGGATGCTGGCAAGAGGTGAACCAGGAACCTTTACCTGACAAAACACAGACATGAGTTTGCAAAGCCATGTGGGCTGTGCTTTATGAGGGAATAACTGAAAAGGAGTGTGAATGGCTTTATTTCATCCTGAACAGTACACGCCTGCCTAACACAGGCATCTGTTATTTGATTTAGCAAATTTTGTGGACTTAACTTTGGGCTTCTCTCTAACGTGGTCTGGGGTGGCCTTTTCAGCTCTTTTTTTCTTTCTTTTGCCCTGGACTGGAATGCAGTCTACCTCAAGTGGGTCTTCCTAGGTAAGAGAGAAAGCAAGACCTGTCTCACTTAATAGGGTGGTCTAGTCCCAAAATAAGGCTTGATTCTCAAAGGAAATGAGAAAAGACAAAGTGGGGGGGGGGATCCATTTATTGAGCCCTACTATGTGCCATCCATTCAACAAACTGGAATGTCTGTTTTAGGTGCTAGGAATACTGTGAAAAATAAGACAAATACCTGCCCTCGTGGCACTTAGTGTCTCATAAATAACTGTGCCAATTACATTTGGGATGAGTGTCATGAGGAAAGGTAAAGAGTGTTCTAGGAGGGAATGCAAGGGAGCTGGATTAGGGAAGACATCCGGGAAGATGAATATCTACACCAAGAACTGAAGGATGAGAGGTATTAGGGAAGGTGGGGGAAAGGCCGTTTATAGCAGAGGGAGCCAGAGGTGAGTTTCTGGAGAGATGGGTTGGAATGACATCACATAGGGTTTTGAAAGCCATCTTATGAATTTGAATTTGGTTGTCCTGGAGCATCATGCCTGTAATCCCAACATTTTGGGAGACCAAGGTGGGAGGATTGTTTGAGGCCAGGAGTTTGAGACCACTCTGGGCAACACAGCGAGACCCCATCTCTACAAAAAAAAGTTTTGGTAGCCAGATGTGGTGGTACTCACCTGTAGTTCCAGCTACTCAGGAGGGTGAGGTGGGAGGATCACTTGAACCCAGCAGTTCCAGGCTGCAGTGAGCTAAAATCAACTGCATTCCAGCCTGGACAACAGAGACATCATCTCTGAAAGAAAAAAAGTATTTGAATTTGGAAAGCTCTGGAAAAGATGGAGAATAGATTAAAGGGAGCCAATATGGCTGTAGGGATACCAGATAAAGGGAGAATGGGGGACAGTGGTAGTGGAGATAGTTTTCAGTCTGTGTGAGACCTAGCAGAGAGCTTCAGGATAACAAATGTGGATTTGTAGCTCAGCTGAGAGACCTGGGCTGAAGACGTAAATTTAAGAATCACAGACATGCATATTAATTGTAATGGGAGTGGTTGAGATCACAAAAGGAAACAGGGTCTCAGACTGAGTCCTAGAAACCAAACCATTTAAGGATTAGGTAGAGGAATTTTGAAAGACAAGGGTATCTCAAACCAAAGAGAATCACCAGTCACTTGGAAAAGAAGCCTGGGTGAGGGCCTGGGTTCTAGTTCCTCAAAGTCTGTGGGTGGGCTAGAGACACAGTGGCTGTTGGCAGAGATCGCTACATGGCCGAGGGGTAGAAGACAGTGACCCTGATACAACACTGCACTGAGACAGCAGGCTCCAAGCTGGAACCACTGGCATTAACCCTGACGGGGTACTTGCTGTTAGACAAGTTATCTCCTTTCAGGGTGTCTGACGACCTGGCTTAAGAGCCTGGTCCTTCACTGAAAAGCTGTTTGGTTGTGGCCAAGTCACAACTAAATTTTGGGTTCTACATCTATAAAATGTAGGATTGTCTTAGCGGTTAGCACCACGGTATAGTGTGAATCTAATCACAAGTTTCTAAACGGTGCCTCTCCTATAAGAGTGCCTGGCCTGGGCCTGCAGGGGTACCTCAAAACTGGACAAACGAAAGCAGTCAACCCCTCTTCCCTCTCTCACTGACCAGTGCAGCCTGGAACAAGGGACTGTCCAGCCTTCTCCCCTTCCTGGTCGTCAGGTGCCAGCCTGTGCCACAGAACCTGTTTATCTTGGAGGTGGAGACAGGTTTTCCTGCCTTATCCTGCCCCAGTTTTTCAGACTAGGGTTGGGCAGAACACACACTGGACTGAGACTTTTTCTGCTAGATTAAAACACCCACCCATCGTAAAGGGGAAGGATAAAAAAACCAAAGTGTGTTGATCTGTCTCTGAACAGTACACACCTTTCGGAAGCCACTTTTGGCATACACGTACACTACCTACATCTCACTAAGTTCCTCCCTGGTCATTCCAGAAATCTCCTGAGAGGTCAGGGCTATCTTAAAATCTGTTCATTTTATTCCAATAACCTTACCCCCATTTAACTTTCTCCCCACTTTAAGTCATTCCCAAATTTCCCAAAAGGTGTATCTGCCAAGGAGAAAAGATGAGTTTTTAGGGGGCTTGAAGAAAACAAGTTCACAAAATTCATTCAGTCAACCTGCTCTGCCAGGCCCTGGACTCTCATGAGCGGGGCATAGTCTGGGAGGAAAGTGGTCATGTCCTTCCCTGGGGCTGCTCTTTTGCCCTCATTTGTTCCTAGATTTCATTGGTTATCCTAATCAGCTCCTTTTAGTCCTTTACCTACCAGGAAGTTGCCCATGAGTCTTAGGGCTTTCCTCATCCTCTAGATATATCTCACCATCCCCACTGGAAACCTGCACTCAGTCCCTCTCCTTCTCTCTCTCTTCCTCCCACCCCTTTCCCCCTTCATTCTTCTTTCATCCAGCACCTCCCCCTGTAAATTAGTAAGAGGGATGAGGAGCCTGAGAGATGAACATTCTCACAGAATGTCCACTAAGTCACCAAGCTATGAAGATGCTGTTTGGAATGAAACTGTTCACATTTCTCTATCACTGTTAAGATAGCCATTGTCTCTAGCAGCCGACAGCTAAATGAACAGAGAAAATGAAGAGTTTCATTGGAAACAAGCGGAGCATTTGGCAGGACTGTAGTTGCGGCTGGGACACAACCCCGAAGTCTGTCTGCTGTGAGTGGCTGACTTTCCATATCACACAGCCTGGGGAGGTCTGGGTGGCACCTTGCTTACTGCCGTTCCATCACGCTGCTCTGCTGTCTGCTTACTGATTCTGTCAGTGCTGTCTTGGGGAGTCACCTGAAATTGCAGTGGCTGCAGACAACCTCTGAACCACTGGGCTCCCCTGCAGCCATCAGAAGGCAGGCTCTATGGCAAGGAAGCCAGGGTTCCCTTCCATCAGCCTCCCTTCCTGAAAGTATGAGGATCCTAAACAGTGGGCCATTGTTTGGGGGTAGTTGCCCCTTGAGCCAGGCATGCTGTCCCCGTGACCCAAGATCTCAGTAGTGGTCAGGACTGTATTGGCTATAAATGACGAAGTCCTGGTGTCCAGTCAGAGTGAGGCAGCCAGGACAATGCAGCTCTACTTCCATCTCACTACTGAGAGACATGGGTTACCAAGCTCTAGGAAAGCAGCATTCCCCCGAGTAACAGTCAGAAAGGGGTGATTCAACACCAGGCTCTGTGTCAGTGAGTGGAGACAGGGGAAAGTGATTTAACTGCCTGGCCCCAGCCCCTGGTGGGGTCACTTCACTGGAGTCCCATGGCACCTCCCAAGAGTCAGGGCTGCTGAGGCCAGCCTCCTGGTCCCCAACCCAACCCCTCAGATGTCGATTAGGACACCCTGGAAAGGGAAGCAGCTGCCTGTAGATCCAGTATACTGGAGGGCCCCCCAAATTTTTTCCAGTAACCATTTGTAAGGTCAAAACAACAGGGGGCGATTTAATACCAAGAGCTTTTTGGGCAAATGTTGAGAGTGAGATAGAGTGTGTGAGAGAGAGAGAGAGAAAGAGAGAGATGCTCCTATTTAGTTACCTAGAAATGCTAGCCATTCTAAAAATTTTACTTAAAAGGAGAAAAAAGGGACTGGTAATTTGTCAGTGGAGGCCATCCCAGAGAGTGCCTCCTTCCTAGAGACACTAGGCCCCTTTCCTCCTTCCTCTTCTCAAATCTTATCAACTAGCTGAAAGTAACACTCACAGCTTCCGGTGGCCAAAAGCCTTAAAAACAACAAAAATCAAACAAGAGAGACTGGTGCTTTAGGCAGCTATAATGCCAAGAAAAGCAAAGGAACTATCTAGCTAGCTCTGTTGCCCAGGCTGGAATGCAGTGGTGCATTCCTCAATCTCCCAGGCTCAAGCAACCCTTCCACCTCAGCCTCTCAAACAGCTGGGACTACAGATGTGTACCACCACACCCCACTGATTTTTTTTTTGGTAGAGACAAAGTTTCACTATGTTGCCCAGGCTAGTCGCAAACTACTAGGCTCAAGCAATCACTTCCCACAGTGCTGGTATCACAGGTCTGAGCTACCATGTCCAGCCCGGAACTTTAAACTTTAGGTACTGAGCAAAGAGCAAGTCTAGGAAACACAATGCTAGCCTTAGATTACTTATTGATTTATGAACAAACTCCTAGATATAGAGGAAAATAAAAGGTATGTATAGATTATATATACATAAATGCATATAATTTATATATAAACTATGAAATAATGTATATAAATAAATTATATACACATTTTAATATATAATAAATAGGCTGGGTGTGGTGGTTCACACCTGTAATCCCAGCACTTTGGGAGGCTGAGGTGGGTGGATCACTGGAGGTCACAAATTTGAGACTGGCCTGGCCAACATGTTGAAACCCCATCTCTACTAAAAATTCAAAAAATTAGCCAGGCGTGGTGGCACATGCCTGTAATCCCAGCTACTTGTGAGTCTGAGGCAAAAGAATTGCTTGAACCCGGGAGGTGGAGGTTGCAGTGAGCTGAGATCGACCCACTGCACTCCAGCCTGGCAACAGAGGGAGACTCCATCTCAAATAAATAAAATACACACACACACACGGCAAATTGTGTATATGCTGTATTTTCCATCATTTGATTTAATTGGAAATTCAAAATTGTTAATTTATGTACTAAAGAATTTATATAACAAAAAGATTAAAAACAGCACTTACTGGTTTTTGTGCCTCTACAACATAGGTTCTAACTTAACATTTGCGAAAATGCACTAACTGTCAAAAATTCATGGACTTAATACTGGGGCTCAAATTATAATTATGCCTGGGGATCCCACTAATTTAAACATTCTGACCCTATAATCTTGAGAGGTTAACTACATATAAAAGTTTTTAAATGTGTATGACTCAATTTAAGTGTAGCCTTGCCAAATTTCTCATGGTCATATACCCACTGCTAGAAAATGTTTTCCATTGAACATAGATGGTTTGACAAAGTAAATAATAAATTAGACAGGGCATGGTGGCTCATGCCTGTAATCCCAGCACTTACAGAGACCAAGGCAGGAAGTTCACTTGAGCCCAGGAGTTCAAGACCGGCCTGGGCAAAAGCAAAACCCTGTCTCTACAAAAACTACAATTAACCAGGAGTGATGGTGTGTGTCTATAGTCCCAGCAACTCAAGAGGCTAAGGTGAGATGATCAACTGAGCCCAGGGGGTTGAGGCTGCAGGGAACCGGGACAGTGTCCCTGCACTCCAGCCTGGGAGACAGAGTAAGACCCTGTTTGAATATTAATAATAAAATAAAGTTAAAGTATCTGTCATTTGCAAATTGGCTTGATAAAATGGGACCCCCATGAGCCCCCATTTTATAGTTAATATGGCCCAATGTAAGTTAAAGCAGGCCCTTCAAGGATTAAAACTCATTATATAAAACCTTATTTTTAAAGAGTGATTATCCCCCCACTACTCTCCATTTAGCAGCCTAATTTTGCCTACGTTCAAATCTGGAAAAACATATATATTTTTATGTATATACATTTTAATATATAAAATGTATTGTATGTAAATTTAATATGTATTTTAAATATATAAATGTGTATACATGGTACCTGTGATGGATCACTACAACTCAACATTGTGGTCTCATCCATTAGGCCACCATACCTAGTATTAAAATTAAACTAATTTTATTCAATCAGCAACTAATAAATACTCTTATAGAGGTGTCTATTTCTACAGCCCTTCAGGCAGTTTGCCTCTGCCTCTGAAGGGACACGATGCACTTTTATAGGCTACTGTGAGGTCTGTCATCACACACTGTCTTTACAGACAAGATGCACCTTCTCCAAGAGCACAGGTACAACACTGCACTGAGAACATCCTCCTCCAAGGAGATTTCATTTGACTCACACTCACATTTGAGCTTAAAGAGGAAGCAGGCAGTCACTGGTAGCTAAGGAAGCCTGTAGCTGCCCTCCTCCTCTTCATCCTATCCCTAAGGAGGAGGGGTGATGTCAAGGATTGGTCAGATTCTGGTCAAGTGAACAAAGCCAGGGCCTGGGGTGGAACCTCAGTGTGTGAAATAAAGGGGCTGAAAGCTGGTCCCAGGCTGGGGATGGCTCCCTTCTACTTCTTCTCTCTCAGACACTGCAGGTAAGATGGGAGCCTGGGCTTATTCCTATCGGGAGGGAGGTGCATTTTTCCTTCTTCCCATTCCCCTCTCAACAGAGTCCCAAGAAAGAACAGGGGGAGGCCAAGGAGAAAGAAATGAGGACAAAACAGCCCCTACTACACAGGTCCAGTGCAGACCCCAGAGGTCAGGGCTTCATGCTGGGGCTTGGGGTCAAAGCCCTAACAGATAATAAAGGGTTTTTTGCTTGTGAAATCTGCTATACAAATATTCCTCCAAGAATACCCTGGGATAGTAGGGGCGGGTGGGTGTCCCTGGAATCTGTCTTCCAGCTATCCATCTCTCAGCCTCAAACCAGAGGAGGGAATGACCAAAGTAGTTTCTGGGAAAAGAAGGGGGAATTCCTGGAGGGGTGCAGTAGCTCACACCTGTAATCCCAGCACTTTGGGAAGCCATGGCGGGTGGATCACCTGAGGTCAGGAGTTGGAGACCAGCCTGGCCAACATGATGAAACCCCCCGTCTCTACTAAAAATACAAAAAATAGCTGGGCGTGCCTCAGGAAGCTGAGGCAGGAGAATCACTGGAACCCGGGAGGCAGAGGTTGCAGTGAGCCAAGAAAAAGAAGAAGGGGGGGAATTCTAGGCAGAGTGAATAGCATTCCAAAGGCAAGCAATAAATGGATGTCTTAATATGTGTGGAGCAATAAACAGAGTGAGAAAGGCCTGCAGTTAGGGGATTACAGAGGAACTTTATACCATGCTGTGTGAGAAGTCTAGACTTCATCCATAAAAAGATGGTCTCCTGTGTTAGCCAACTGCTTGTGTTATTCTGGTGCTTGCTACACGCCAGGCATAGTTCTGAGTGCCTTACATGAATTAACTTATATCATTCTGGGACACTAAGATAAAGGACTTGCCCAAAGTCTACCAACAAGGAACCTGAGGTTCAAAGGGGTGGAATAAGTGACAGATCTGTTCTCTTTACCGAATTTGCTACTCGGCAGTCATGGCATCAGCAAAGAGACAGGTTCTGTTGACCCGGACTTACCGTGAGGTGACCTGGAGGAGGTGGTATCTGAGCTGAGTCATGAGAGACAAGGGGTCAGGGCCAGCAGAGGCTGGGAGAGTTTAAGGTGCCTGGGCTCCAGGATGCCTGAAGACTGCTTTGGGAAACAAGGGGATCCAGCAAAAAGAACCATAGAGAGAAATGCCCAATGCTTCACAGCAGGTCAAAGCCCCCAGGATGCACAGTGTGGCATCCAAGAACAGAGCTGAGCAAGCCAGCCCCGCCTTTGGATCAGCGCCTGGCCCCAACCTTTCACTTTACAGCAGAAGTTGGCTGTGATCCAGGATCTTCATTCAGTTTTATCAAAGTAAATGCAAATGTGTTTGAAAAAACAAGATTTATTGTTACATTAAGATTATTTTTGCTTCTAGAAATGATGGGAGGATGCTTTTTAATTTTTTTAAGTAGTATTTGTGTAGCACTTCAGCATAACCAGAATTCTTTCCTCATTTTATTGAAAAATGAGTGTTAACTTTCTCAGTTTTTCAAATGAGGACATTGACATCTAGGAGATTAACACAGGAAAGAAGCTGGGGCTCAAATTCAGTTATTCAGACTCCAAATTCTGTTTTCATTCTTTTTTTCTTTCATTCATTGAAAAAAAAAAATACTGCATTCCCCAAATGTGCCAGGCACAGGACCATGCACTGAGTAGATAGCTGATGGTAAAATAGACAGAGCTTATCTCGCAGGCCCTCTTCTCACAGTGCTTCTAACACTGAGGCAGGAACATGTGAAGATACACTATATATTACTCTATGTCATATTTCTAATCAGCACTTGGTGATTACATTGACACTTTTGGAAGCTTCTCACACTTGCATTTGTACTTAGCTGCTCCCATTCTTTCACTGAATGCCTGCTTTGTGCCCATTCTTCGGTAGACACTGTATATGCACTGTAACACACAAGCAGCAGAGTTCAATCTGGTAACACCTATGTGCAAACTACCTGCAAGTATTTGTTGAGCACATACTTTTGGAAAAGCCATCTTTCAGCAAATATTTATTGGCACCTTGATAATCCTAACAGCTAATATTTACTGAATACTGTATGCCAAGGACCATAGTAAATTCTTTACACACATTATCATTTGGTCTTCACAGTAAGCCTTCAGAGGCAGGTATTTGAGAGCTTAAGTCAACATGCTCAAATTCATGACACTAGAGAGCAGTGGCAGTGGAATTTAAATCCAGGCATCCAGCATTTCCTACGACTCTGCTGTCCTAACCTCCCACCCTATGCAGGGCACTGGGAATACAACAGTGAACAACATTGGTGCAATCTCTGCCCTTAAAATGTTTACAGCCTAGGAGGGAAGATAACCTTTAAACAGTCATATGCTGGAATGTCTAACAGGGTACCTGGTCTTCTTTGAGCTTCATTCAAACTTCCCCAAGAATATGCCTTGTCAAGTGGATGCAGAGACTGAGTCTTTATGCAAGGAGAGGAGGGAGGGAGAAGTCAGTCCAGCAGGGGGAGAGCACAAAGAAAAGCTCCGAGGTAGGAAGAGGTCTGGCAGCCTGAGGCTGTGACTGGGCTGAGAGCAAGGCCAGGTGGATCACAGGGAAGCTAAGGAAAAGAGCATGAGGAGTGGCAAATAAATCTGCGTAATTCCAAGGTTCCTCTGGCTGCAGGAGGGGAGAGGTTAGCCGAGAGCAAGACAGCGTGTGGAGACGCCACGCAGGACACTACTTCATGTGAGGCAGGGATGTTAGTTTGGATCAGCCTATTGATAGAGGGAATGGTAGCATGTAGTTGATAAAAAAAAAATGTAGAAGAGAATCGACGGGGCTTGTGTGGGGAAATGAGGGAAAGGAGGAAGTCAAGGAAGATTTTTGGCTTGAACAACCCAGTGGATGGCAGCACTCAGGACAGCTCTGGGGAGGAAGATGAGAGTTCAAGTTGCATCCAGGGTAGCTGTGGACAGCCATGGAGCTGATAAGTCAGGGGGCTGCTTGGTCATGTGGCTCTAGAGCTCCAAGGTCCTAACAGTGAAGGAGATCATCTTGGACAAAGGTGAAATGAGTGTCTAAGACAGAGCCCTAGAGGCCTTCCACTATGAAAGGTTATTAGAGAGGTCAGGTGCAGTGGCTCACACCTGTAATCCTAGCATTTTGGGAAGTCCGGGCGGGAGGATCACTTGAGCCAAGCATTTGCGAGCAGTCTGGACAACATGGCAAGACTCTGTCTCTACAAAAAATAGAAAAAATCATCCACACATTGTGGCACACACCTGTGGTCCCAGCTATTCAGGAGGCTGAGGTGGGAGGATCACCTGAGCCTGGTAAGTGCAGGCTACAGTGAGCCATGATCACACCACTGCATTTCAGCCTGGATGACAGAGTGAGACTCTGTCTCAAAAAAAAAAAAGAGAGAGAGAAGAAGAAGGTCATTAGAGAGGGGGGATTGAGCAAAGGGAACTGAGAAACATAGTGAAAGAGAAAGGAGGAAAGGCAGGAGAGTGTGGAGTCTGTTTCAAGGAGGGAGTGGGAGCAGGGCACAATGGTTCATGCCTGTAATCTCAGCACTTTGGGGGCTGAGGTGGAAGGATCACTTGAACCCAGGAGTTCAAGACCAGACTGGGCAACATAGTGGGACCCTGTCTTTACCCCCCAAATTTTTTTTAATTAGCCAGGTGTGGTGGCACACTCCTGTAGAGCACCTCAGCTACTCCAAAAGCTGAAGTGGAAGGACTGCTTTAGCCTAGGTGTTCAAGGCTACAGTGAGTCATGATGGCACCACTGCACTCCAGCCTGGGTGACACAGTAAGGCCCTGTCTCAAATAAATAAATAAAAAAGCAATGGTCTGAGATTGTAGAACCTTATGTGCTGAATTTTTAGCAGGGCACAGTTAAATACAGAAAAGGTTGTTCTGACCTGGGATTCGTCCCTGGGGGTTTTCATGAAGGCCATGCCTGAGGTGCACCTGGACAGGCGACCTGCAGGAGAGGGGCTGAGGGTGAATGTTCGGGAACAGCAAATATATCAGCAGGTAGACTCAGGAGGCAGAGCTAGAGGATTCCATGGAGGTCACATCACCCATGAGGTCCTATCACCCATGTAACTTAGTCACTGGCCACTTCATGCTCATTTCATGGTCACAACTCTGCAGTAGTAATTCATAACTCTTTGTCACAGATAACAACACTCAGACCCAGACATGGGAATTGACTGTTCAGACAGTGCAGATGGAAGCGGGGAAGGCAGAATTCAACTCTGGGTCTCAGGCCAGTGCTATTACCTCATGCTTCCTCGATTCGGGTGGCAAGAAGAGATTAGTGAGGATGCAGGCTAGGCAGAGGTAGAGAGGAGGGAATAAGTGAGAGGGATGTAAGATGCGGACAGCAGGTAGCAGCTGAGAAGGACAAGGAAGAAGTTTGGGACTTCTGGCTGCAGTAGTCAGGTGAACGGATGTGCGAACAGCAGGGTATGGGTTCAGGGGAAGATGGAGACTCAAACGATGAGTCCGACGAGCGGCCTACTGACAAGTAGTGGGGCGGAGTTGTCAGGAGGCAAAGAGAGACACAGATCTGAAGTTCAGAGGAACGGTCCAGCCTGTGGGAGGCCAGAGAGAGTCAGTGTAATCTTGGATTTTGGTTCCTTTTTACCACTTAACAGCAAAGTTAAGAAGGTTCTGGGAGAGAGGTGACGGGTTATGGGTGGCATCCCGCCAGTGTCAAAGACGACTTCCGGCTCACCTCTGACTCAGTTTCCCCCACAGATGACTTTTCTCTGCCGCAGGTCCCTGAATCTCAAGACTCTGGCCTGCCTCCTGGTGGGCGTGAGTTTCTTGGCACTGCAGCAGTGGTTCCTCCAGGTCCCGAGGTCCCCGCAAGAGGAGAGGTCCCCGCAGGAGGAGACGCCAGAGGGCCCCACCGACGCTCCCGCAGCTGCCGCTCTGCCCTCGGTGCTCGTCCCCGGGCCCCAGTGCATGGCCAACGCCTCAGCCAACGCCACAGCCGACTTCGAGCAGCTGCCCGCGCGCATCCAGGACTTCCTGCGGTACCGCCACTGCCGCCACTTCCCGCTGCTCTGGGACGCCCGGGCCAAGTGCGCAGGCAGCCGCGGCGTCTTCTTGCTTCTGGCCGTGAAGTCGGCGCCTGCGCACTACGAGCGGCGCGAGCTCATCCGGCGCACGTGGGGTCAGGAGCGCAGCTACGAGGGGCTGCAGGTGCGCCGCCTCTTCTTGCTGGGCACCCCGGGACCCGAGGACGAGGCGCCCGCCGAGCGGCTGGCGGCGCTGGTGGCGCTGGAGGCGCGCGAGCACGGCGACGTGCTGCAGTGGGCCTTTGCCGACACCTTCCTCAACCTCACGCTCAAGCACGTGCACCTGCTGGACTGGCTGGCGGCGCGCTGCCCGCACGCGCGCTTCCTGCTCAGCGGCGACGACGACGTGTTCGTGCACACCGCCAACGTGCTCCGGTTCCTGCGGGCGCAGCCGCCCGGCCGCCATCTGTTCTCAGGCCAGCTAATGCAGGGCTCCGTGCCCATCCGCGACAGCTGGAGCAAGTACTTCGTGCCCCCGCAGCTCTTCCCCGGGTCCGTCTACCCGGTGTACTGCAGTGGCGGCGGCTTCCTCCTGTCCAGCGCCACGGCCCGGGCCCTGCGCTCGGCCGCCCGCCAAACCCCGCTCTTCCCCATCGACGATGCCTACATGGGCATGTGTCTGGAGCGGGCCGGCCTGGAGCCCAGCGGCCACGAGGGCATCCGGCCCTTCGGCGTGCAGCTGCCTGGCGCGCGGCAGCCTTCCTTTGACCCCTGCATGTACCGCCAGCTACTGCTGGTGCACCGCTTCGCACCCTACGAGATGCTGCTCATGTGGAAGGCGCTGCACAGCCCAACGCTCAGCTGTGACCGGGAACACCGGGTCTCCTGAAGCCAGGTGGGTGGCCTAAGCCCCAGGCCTCCACCCGTGACGGTGTCCATGCTGAGAAGGCAGCTTTCCCACCCCAGGTACCTTCCGTCCTGCCCAGCTCTGTGCACCTGAAACCCAGCTGCACACTGAAATCAGCAAGGTGTGAGGGATGTGAGAAATAACTGCATCCTGCCTGCATGTCCTGAAGTTTCGATTGGATTGGTCTGGGGTGACCCAAGACGTGTTAAGTATTTTTTAAGTTCCTCCAGTGATTCGAATGTGCAGTTAGACCTGAGAACCACTGGGCTAGAATGTCTGTCTGTTCATCCTCGAAAACCCAGCTCCACCACCCCCTCCTCAAGCCTTCCCGGACACCTGGCTCCCATACTCGGGTCTTTGTGGGCAGTGGAGCAAGGGATACCTGGGAGCGTGGGAGCAAGGATCAGTGTGCCCTGCCATGTGCCTACAAATGTGAGTTGCCATTTCCACCATTTCCTCTACAAGTGAGTGGAGCTGGAGCTGGGCTGACAGTCTCAGGTGGATCCCACTTCCCTCTCCCCCCAGAAGTCAGTCACATGTAGCTGAGTTGCTTGTGGCAGCCTTCCTCTCACAGCTGTCCCAGTAGCCCATGAGGTAGAAATCAAGTGGAAAACAGAGGCCTGGTCAGACAGTGACTAATCCAGGGCCATGTCATTCTCAGCACCCCATTTTGATCCCCTCCGCACTTACCCCGACCAAAGTTAATGGCCTGGTTGGGTCCTCCCCACCAATGCTCACCCCCACAGGTCAGAGACAGGCTCCTTGCTGGGGTCTGGGCCTCAGGGTCAGTGGGCCTTGGACAACCCAACAGGGAGTTCTGGGGAGTTCAAAGTGGAGAAAAGCTGATGGGAACATGGAGGCCAGCGTTGGGGAGGCTGTGGAGGCAGGTGTGTAGGATTGTGTTTGGGAGGTGGGAGATCTGAAATGGAGGTGGATAGTGGTTAAGAGAATGTGCAGGGCTTCCTGGGAACTTGGTGACTGGGGATCTGAGAACCAGGCTGTGGTCCTGACCTGAAGCAGTTACAGCTGCCAGTCATCTTGGCAATATAGAAAATCAAGGAAACAGCCTACGGGCAGGCAGAAGTGTGTGTCAGCAAGGTCCCAACTATATAAGATGGACGCAGGGACTTGCCTTCAGAGAGGAAAGAACCTGGGCAGAAAGTCAGAAGACTGGCCAAAGGACCTTCCTTGCCTTCAGGACAAAGGCCAGACTCCTGAGTCCTGCATTTCCGGTTCAACAGGCTGCTGCTCACTGCTCCCTCCCTCCCAGCCCCCCACTGTCGGCCTCCAGCCAGTGGGCAATGCCCATGCTTTGTTCTACTGCCTCTGCATTTTGCACAAGCTCTGACTGGGTTACTGAAATGTCCTCTAACCACCACCATCCTGCATATCTCTTGCACCAGTTAGGATGCCTGTGGGGGAGGCTGCCAGCTGCCCACCTGAGTCAGCTGCCCCCTTCCTCCCAGGCACTCACCTAGACTACATTTCCCAGCACCCCATCCCCTGCAGTTAGATGTGGCCCTGTGACTAGGCCCTCATGGATGGACCAAGTGGATGAGGATCGTTGCTGCACCTGGGCTTGCCTATGCTCTTACTGCTTCCCCTTTGCTGGAACATGGACGGACCTGAGACTCAGCTCTGACTTTGCAAGTGAGGACAACGCTCCAGGCCCAAGCCAAAATTTCTCAACTATTGACATTTGGGGCAGGACAGTTCTTTGTTGTAGGGGCAAGTCCTATTCATTGTAGAACATTCAGCAGCATTCCTGTCCTCCACTCACTAGATACTAGTATCACAGCCCAAGTGCTTACACCCAAAGTATCTCCAGACGTTGCAAAATGTACCTGGTGGGCAAATTCACCCTAGCAGAAAACAACTGGCCTAGAGGAAGGCAGAGAAACAAGAGAATTCCTGAGTTCCTATATGGAGCAGAGGTGCCCAGGGACTGACCTGGCATACTCGGCTCAGACTACTGAGGAAGACAAACTTCTATGCTTTTTAAAAAATTATAGATAGAACAATATGGACAAAAACTTTTATGGTTTTGAGCCTCTGGAGTTTGTCGACTCTGTTACAGCAGCCTTACCCTGCTAATATTTTAGTCTATTCAGGCTGCTGTAACAAAAATACCATAAACTGGGTGTCAGGACATCTTGAAAGTTCAGGAGGCTGGGAAATCTAAGGTCAGTGTCCCAGCAGATTTGGTGTCTGGTGAGGGCCCATTCCTCACTGCCTTCTTGCTGTGTCTCTGCATGGTGGGAGGGGCATGCAAGCTCCCACGGCCTCTTTTATGGGGCCCAGATCCCATTGGTGAGTGTTCTGCCATCATCACCTCATCACCTTCAGGGCTAGGATTTCAACATAAAAATTTGAGGGAAACAGACATTCCAACCGTAGCACTTAAGTCATCTGCTGTGTCCCCTGTGATCCGTTGTTTCTCACCAAATAGACTGGCTGCTCCCAGAGGGAAAGGCCATGTCTTATTTACATCAGGGCTGGCACAGATTTACACAGAGAGAACCAGTGGCAAGTCCCATCACTCCCACTCTGGGAACTCTCACCTCTCTGAGCCTCTCTTTCTGATATGATTTGGCTTTGTGTCCCCACCCAAATCTGATCTTGAATTGTAATTCCCACATGTCAGGGGATTGGACAGGCAGGAGGTGTTTGGACAATGGGGGTGGTCTTCCCCATGTTCTTGTCTTGATAGTGTGTTCTCACGAGAGGTGATGGTTTTTTTTTGTTTTTTTCTTTTTTTTTTGAGACAGTTTCACTCTTGTTACCCAGGCTGGAGTGCAATGGCGCCATCTCGGCTCACTGCAACTTCTGCCTCTTGGGTTCAAGCAATTCTCCTATCTCAGCCTCCCGAATAGCTGGGACTACAGGCACATACCACCACACCTGGCTAATTTTTGTATTTTTAGTAGAGATGGGGTTTTCACCTTGTTGACCAGGATGGTCTGGATTTCTTGACCTCATGATCCACTGGCCTCGGCCTCCCAAAGTGCTGGGATTATAGGTGTGAGCCACCACACCCGGCTGAGGTGATGGTTTTAAAGTGCGGCACTTCCTTGTTTTCGCTCACACTCCCTCCTGCTGCCTTGTGAAGAAGCTGTCTGTTTTCCCTTTGCTTTCCGCCATGATTGTAAGTTTCCTGAGGCCTCCTAGCCATGCTTCCTGTTAAGCCTGCAGAACTGAGTCAATTAAACCTCTTCCCTTTATAATTACCCAGTCTCAGATAGCATCCTTTATAGCAGTGTGAAAATGAACTAATACACTTTCCACAGTAATGTTCCGTGCCAGGGCCATGTAAATCCTCTGTAAGCCACATAGGAGGGCACTGTCATTCTGCTGGCTTACTGGCAGCTCTGAGAGGTCAAAGGAAGCAGGAGGAGGTGGCAATTCCAGTTGACCTTTCTGCAGCCCTTGCCATGGGTCTCCAGTAGCCACAGCCTCTTGTCCCTTGCTGGTCTTTTTTCTGAGCAGGCCATAACAAGTATTTCTAAATGATTTCGGGGTGAGTGGATGAATGGATGCATGCCACCTGTCCCAGTGGTATGGACTGCATCTCTTCGGACAGCAGTCCCCAACCTTTTTGGCACCAAGGACTCATTTTGTGGAAGACAGTATTTCCACAGACCAATGTGGGGGATGGTTTTGGCAAGATTCAAGTGCATTACATTTATCGTGCACTTTCTTCCTGTTATTATTACATTGTAATATGTGATGAAATAATTATACAACTCACCATAATGTAGAATCAGCGGGAGCCCTGAGCTTGTTTTCCTGCAACTACACAGTCCCATCAGGGGTGATGGGAGACAGTGATAGATTATCAGGCAGTAGATCCTCAGTAGGAGCATGCAACCTTCCACTTCTAAGGACCCTGTAGCTACATTGGGCCTACCTAGATAACCTGGGATTCTCTTCCTATCTTAAAGTCTGCTGATGAGCTGCCTTCATTCTGCCTCAACCTTACTTTCCTTTGCCATGTAACATGGTGACATGCAACATGTAACATTCTCATGTAACATGTAGCAGGCACAGGTTCCAGGTATTTAGGGTATGGACAGCTTTTTGGGGGGCCGTTATTATTCACCACAGTGCCCAGTAAATATTTATTGTGGAATAAATCAACAGTAATGAATGCACAAAAATAAATCAGTGAACAAGAGTGCTTCTTCCACACAGACCTCCTAGATGCAAACTCTCATTCTGGACTACTGAGTGTCGTTGATTCTGAATTCCCGCCCCTAGCGGCCATTTGTCAAGTGCTTACAAGATACAGGAAAACAGGAATGATGAGGCCAGAATGTAGACGGGTCCTCTGGAAGGTCCAAATTGTGCTTTGACACAAAATCACACAAAAGGTGCTTTTATAGCCTCCTGCCATTTCCCTGACAGACAAGCAGATTATCCCCATTCTATTCCTAGAAACGAAGATTCAGGACCTTGCTGGCTCCAAGGCTTGGGAAGCCGATGATACGGGTGGGCTGAGTGACTCTGGGTCCTGGCCACCCGGTCTCTGAAGGTTGCACTCGCGTCCAGGCCCAGGGAAGTCTGCAGTACCCGCGCAGCCCCGGCAGTATCGGGCGCCAAGTGGCTCATCGCTCACCAAAGCCCTGGCCGGGTGCTCCCCGCCCCGCTATCCGGCTCATGCGGCCTGTGGCCGCCAGGGGGCGCACCCCGCCCCTCGGATCCCGCACACACCCGGACTCCACAGAGCAGCCCCGGAGCGCGGGCCTTCAACGGCCCTAGTGAGGCCAGCATGACTTTGACACTCAAAGAGCTCAAACCCCCAAGGATTCCAGGAGCAGGGAAGATGATGCGCCTATCTCAGGAACCTAGATGAAAGCAAAAATCTTACGCAAAATGCTAGCACACAAAATGCGGTGACAGGTAAAAAGAATATCAGGACGGAGACGAGTTTATCCCAGAAATTCCAGAGGGGCTTAGCATTAGAAAAACAGCCAGACTACGTAAATAAGACAGGATGATCGATCAGTCAATGCGGTGCATTGCATCAAGAGAAATATGAGCACTTCAGAGGCATGGGAAAGACGTTTATTAAAATTCAACATCCATTAGTGATTTTAAAGAAAATCTTACTAGTAAGAGGTGAAAGCATTTGACAGCATTTCACTTAAGGTTAGGAGCAAGATGAGATGTGCCATCTTCACTACTTCTGTTCGGAATTGTCCAGGCCTGGAAAGCACACAAAGACAAGAACAGATACAGAAATATAATAACTGGAAACAGAGAAAGAAATTTTTCAAAATCTCAGAAGTTTAGAACCCTATCAGATCCAACTGTCCTTTCTGTAACAAATTAATGCCACTCTCCCATCCTGAAATGAAATAGTTAGATAATATAACACCTCCACACACATATTTTCAAAAAACCAATACAGTGCTTTAATTGTAATATGAGGTAAATAAAAGAAAAATACCTTAAAATGTTCATATTGATTATGTAAATTCTTAGGTCTAACAACAAAAAATTAAACTCCCCTGCAAATTTCCAAATCTCCCCCTAGGGGGCAGTACACCTCTTCAAGAACTATTATTCTGCATGGAAAAGCCCTCGATAACCACAGACACGCACAAACCCTCCAGATAATACAGATTAATAAGAAAAAGTAGCAACTACTCTAGATAAAAAAATCAATATAAAAAAAATCTAGGCTGAGGCAGGTGGATTGCTTGACAGCATTTCACGTAAGGTTAGGAGCAAGATGAGATGTACCCATCTTCACTACTGGGATCGCTTGAGCCCAGGAGTTTGCAACCAGCCCAGGCAACATGGTGAAACCCCAGCCCTTCAACGAATACAAAAATTAGCTGGGCATGGTGGTGGCATTTGTAATCTCAGCTACTCGGAAGGCAGAGGTGGGAGGATCCTTTGGGTCCGAGAGGTCGAGGCTGCAGTGAGTCCTGATAGTGCCACTGCACTCCAGTCTGAGTGACAACCTGTCTCAAAAATATGAAACAAAACAAAACAAAATCTGTTTAATTCCTGGATAGTAGCAACGAGCAGTCAGGAAAAGTCAGTCTTTTTATTTTTATTTTTTATTTTTTTGAGACGGAGTTTCGCTCTTGTTACCCAGGCTGGAGTGCAATGGCGCGATCTCGGCTCACCGCAACCTCCGCCTCCTGGGTTCAGGCAATTCTCCTGCCTCAGCCTCCTGAGTAGCTGGGATTACAGGCACGCGCCACCATGCCCAGATGATTTTTTGTATTTTTAGTAGAGACGGGGTTTCACCATGTTGACCAGGATGGTCTCGATCTCTTGACCTCATGATCCACCCGCCTCGGCCTCCCAAAGTAAAGTCATTTTTTTTAAAGTGTCAACTAAATCTAAAACAAGCTATGCAAGAAAACAATTAAAAATTATGTTTTAAAATTATGTTTAAAACATAATTTTGTTTATAATTATGTTTAAAAATTATGTTTTTAAAAATTCTGTTTTTAATTGTTTTCTTGCATAGCTTGTTTTAGATTTAGTTGACACTTAAAAAAAAATGGCTTTACTTTGGGAGGCCGAGGCGGGTGGATCATGAGGTCAAGAGATCGAGACCATCCTGGTCAACATGGTGAAACCCCGTCTCTACTAAAAATACAAAAAATCATCTGGGCATGGTGGCGCGTGCCTGTAATCCCAGCTACTCAGGAGGCTGAGGCAGGAGAATTGCCTGAACCCAGGAGGCGGAGGTTGCGGTGAGCCGGGATCGCGCCATTGCACTTCAGCCTGGGTAACAAGAGCGAAACTCCGTCTCAAAAAAAAAAAAATTATGTTAAGATATATGTATCTTATGTTTCTTACATGTATATATCTTATGTATCTTTATGTCTTCTAGATATGAGGTATCTTATCTATAAGATATAGAGCTATATAAGATTTATATATAACTTTATTAGCAATTTATTAATCTTTTTATTAATCTATATATTTCTGAGACAGTCTCACTCTTGTCACCCAGGCTGGAGTGCAGTGGCATGATCTCAGCTCAGTGCAACCTCCACCTTCCGGGTTCAAGCTATTCTCATGCCTCAGCCTCCCAAGTAGCTGGGATTACAGGTATCCACCACAATGCCCAGCTAATTTTTGTATTTTTAGTAAAGACAGGGTTTTACCATATTGGCCAGGCTGGTCTCAAACTCTTTACCTCAGGTGATTCGCCTGCCTTGTCCTCCCAAAGTGCTGGGATTATAGGCATGAGCCACTGTGCCCAGCCTATATTTTACATATCTTAACATAATATGTATCTTATATGTTAGTATACATATATCTTAACATAATTTTAATATATATTAAATATATATTAAAATTATGATATTATATATACATAAATATGTGTGTATGTATATATATATATGTATATATATATATATGTATGTATATATATTTTGGAGACAAGGTCTCACTCTGTCTCCCAGGCTGGAGTGCAGTGGTGCGATAGATCACAACTCACTCATCACTAATGGCTCACTAACCCTGTATTGCTCAGGTTGGGCTTGAACTCCCGGGCTCAAGCGATCCTCCCACCTCAGCCTCCCAATGTCCTGGGATGACAGGCATGAGCCACTGCGTCTGGCTTTATTAAGATGCTTTTTAAAATACACAAAGTAATGCTCAGAGACATCATGTTTTAAAGTACCTCTAAGCCTCTGATTTCCTTGTGTCCTCACCGAAACCAGAAAACTTAATTATCATCCCAACTTGAAAGATGTGGACACTGTGCCCAGGTAGAGAAGAGACCCTGGACATCAAGGACTGAGGGCCTTGGCCTCCTGCCTGCCGTTCCTGGGCCCTAACCACCACCCCAGCCACCTTGCTTTGGGCCCACTACTCCCAGAGTCCACAGGCTAGCACTGTACAAAGCCAGAGGCCGGGTCTCCAAGCTTCAAAGAAAGGAGGCAGACAGCAATCTGGCTGTCTAGTCACCAGGGCACCTGGGAGTGTTCTATCTCCCACAATATCCCCGAGTCCACATTTCAATTAAAACTTACTGAAAATAGAAAACACACCAGGGAGGAAAAAATAAACCAGCCATAGCATTGTTCACGCTTTCAGTGGGAGGAAAGCATCCTGGCCCCCACCATCTCAGCTGCACGAGGAGCTGGGCAGGGTGGAGGGCAGAGCTCAAAGGCAAGGCCCCGTCTAGGTTCCCCCACCCCAATGCCACACCTACTCCCTCCCCCAAATCCTGAAGAAAGAGCAATAATGCCAGACGTGTTGGCTCACACCTGTAATCCCAGCACTTTGGGAGGCTGAGATGGACGGATCACGAGGTCAGGAGTTCGAGACCAGCCTGACCAACATGGTGAAACCCCACCTCTACTAAAAGTATAAAATTTAGTTGGACATGGTGGTGCACATCTGTAATCCCAGCTACTTGGGAGGCTGAGGCAGGAGAATTGCTTGAACCCAGGAGGCAAAGAATGCAGTGAGCCAACATCATGCCATTGCACTCCAGCCTGGGCAACAAGAACAAAACTGTGTCTCAAAAAAGAAAAAGAAAATATGATTACAGAGAGACAGGAAGTCCAAACCTGAATGGTTTTGAGAAATGCCCTCCCTGCCCGACTCCCTTGCATGGGAAAGAGGGTCCTGAGAGAAGTGGTGCCAGCCTAGCACCACGCAGCGGGTCTGCGGCAGAAGAGGAAGCCCAGGTGTGATCCTTGCTCAGAATCCAGCCCTGGAGAGGGCAGTCTGTGAGGGGTTTGAATGTCGGCCCCTGGGCCCCTGTGTTCAGTCGGCCAGGGCTACAGCCACCTGCCAGAGGAAGACATGGAGGACGGCCAGGGCCTGTAACTGCAAGCCCAGACCACAGGCCCCCAGTCTTGAACAGTAGTTTTCAAACCATGAACTGAGACCCATGTATGGGTCCTGAAATCAATTCAGAGTCTGAAACTCACATATAAAAAATTTAAAAAGAGTAAAATAGAAATATCAAGTGAATTACAGAGAGTAAAGATATCTTGATATAAAATATTATTCTTATTGTGGTTATAGTTTAAAAACAACAACAAATGTTTTGGCTGGGCACGGTGGCTCAGGCCTGTAATCCCAGCACTTTGGGAGGCCAAGGCAGGAGGATCACCTGAGATTGGGAATTCAAGACCAGCCTGACCAACATGGTGAAACCCCATCTCTTCTACAAATTAAAAAAAAAATTAGCCAGGCATGGTGGTGTGCATCTGTAATCCCAGCTACTTAGGAGACTGAGGCAGGAGAATCACTTGAACCCAGAAGGCAGAGGTTGCAGTGAGCCAAGATTATGCCACTGCACTCCAGCCTGGATGACAGAGCAAGACTCCACCTCAAAAACAGTAAAAAAAGAAAGAAAGAAAGAAAGAAAGAGGAAGAAAAGAAAAGAAAGGAAAAAATGTTTTTCCTTATAACAACAAAATTGCCAGATTCAAGGTCAATAAACAACCAACAGCATTTCTTTATACCAGTCATAATCAACTAGAAAATGTCATTAAAATATATATACCATTCATGATGTCTGGAACTTACTTTCCCATGGTTCAGAAAAAAAGAAGGAATGTTTGTGAATGAGGGAGGGGCATAAAGCAAATATAGCAAAACATTAGCAATTTATGAGTCCAAGTGAAGGGCATAAGAATGGTCATCGTTCTAGCCTTTCAACTTTTCTATAGGTTAATTTTTTTTTTTTGAGGCAGAGTCTCACTCTGTCACCCAGGCAGGAGTGCAGTGGTGCAATCAGGGCTCATTGCAACCTCGACCTCCCAGGCTCAAGAAGATCCTCCTACCTCAGCCTCCTGAATAGCTGGAACTACAGGTATGCACCACCAAGCCCAGATAACTTTTTTAATTTTTAATTTTTTGTAGAGATGGGGTCTCCCTATGTTGCCAGGGCTGGTCTCGACCTCCTGTGCTGAAGCCATCTCCTGCTTCTACATTCCAAAGTGCTGGGATTACAGGCCTGAACCACCATGCCCAGCCTAGACTGACATTGTAAAGAATGAATTAAAAATTGGGAGAAAATCCCAACCACAATAACAACAAAAACTAGAAAGCATCCAGGAATTAAGTGACTGTATAAGCCCTCCATGGGCAAAAAAAATGAATAAACTCTAATAAAGGACATAGACAATGCTCTGAATAAAATAGACAAAAAGGAGCACCTCTAAAACAGCCTCTAAAAATCCTGTCCTTTGTAACAGCATGGGTGAACCTGGGGAGCACTGTGTTAAGTGAAATAAAGCAGACACAGAAAGACAAACA